AAATGTTCCCTCTACCCACAAAAAGTTTATATTAACGACAATATCAATTGGAACAATAATATTTTTTTATTAATTTTCTTTTTAACAATATATTCAATTAAATAAACACAAGTATTGTTGGTTTTTTACCTGAATAAACAGCAATGTTTATCAAAATCATCCAGCAAGGAAGACTTTTCATCTTGTTTAAACATACAATCTAACGCAATGAGATAAAATGTAAAATGTCTTGATTCAATTATTATTTATATTTCTGAAGTTAATTTTAAAACAAATTATCGTTTACATATGTATAATTTAGTAGCAACAGGGACGAAAAGTGCTTGTTAACAAAATTTATGTTGAACCCATCTGGACATTCAATGTTCTTCTCATATAACACTGGGTCCCTTTCAAATATTAACAGCATACTCCACAAGAATTAAATACACTCTATCTGAATCACAATTAATTCTTTGATTTGTCTTAGGACCATTTAACTATAGTATATCAATCGTTTCTGTTCATGGTGCATAGTAATCGGTTGGATTTACCCCCCCCCCCCCGGGTGCCTACCTTCTTTTATGTCTTTTTCTTAAAGAGTAACACAATCTTATGGACATTTCCGATATGTGTTAATACCATATTTCAGGAACGGAATATTAATGCATAGCTTATAAAATTAAAATAAAATACTCGTGCATGGAAAAATAGGTTTTACATGACGCACGGCCCCCGAGATGTGCTTACAGTAAAACGTGTCATAGTAAGTACCTGTCAGATAAATATTAAAATGTTGATCAACATTTGTTTTTGAGTTTTAATTGCTAGGGACCTTTTTTTTTTACCATAGCATGGCCATCGATAATATGAGTATATTAGGTTATGTATTACCCCATTCATCTTTAATACTTATAATCCAAGGGCGTCAGTGTATTTTTTGGTATCATTTAAATCTCCCTTAATCATTATAATTATCCGCCGATCTCTAATCACCTACTACTTTAAATGTATAAGCTAACCCTTAAATCTTTAACCCTAACTTAGCAACTCATGTTATTCGATATTTCTTTGCACAACCGACCAACATCTTCCAATACTCCACCCCAGCACCTCCCCTCATCAGCCCTCAAATTCATTCCACTCATTGAAGTAAACACACTAGAAGCCCTTTCGTCTGCCAGCTCCTATGTCTTTCCGCCGAAATACTCACTTTGTCCGTATATTGCTTAAAAGTAAATTACCCATGTTCAATTATGCTTGCATTATTTTATTATATCATATTCCTTGATTATAACTACGGTGTTGAATAATCAGCGTGCTAATTACTATTGGATTAAGACACGTTCACAGTCAGGCTAGGTAGAATCCTAGTTAGGTTTTAAAGTGTTTTTTTTTTAAAATAGTTTTTGTTAATCCCATCTCCCGCCATCCCGCTTTTTCTGAATCAATAATGAGTTAAGCCCATTTATCGATTTAACTGTTAATCTTCAATTTCAATACATATGGCCGAATGTCAATTGAAAAACAGCGTGGCCATATGTACTTAAGGATATTTATAAAAAAAGTTATAGTCATATCTATTCAATGTCAAAAGAAATATAAACAAAAATTTTTTGCCTATTGATTAAAAGACTTGATTTTATATTGGTATTATATAAATGTAATTGTCTATTCTTTTATTTAAAGAGAAAATAAACAAATTATCATGCAACTTGATAATCTTAAAAGCCTTTTTACCAATTAACATACAATTTATAACTAAGTAAATATATGTATGATTGATGATCTACTACAAATATCCTATTAAGACACAACACATCGTATTTGCAAGTCTGCTGCTTTCAGGGCTAAGGCGCGAGTTCTCCCAAACCCACCTCCCTCCTCCCGCCAAGCCCGCGTTCTTGAAACGTGTTGACGAGAGGTAAGAAATCCATGTGGTCAAAAGCCTGTCATGTACACTCTATAAGGCACTGCCGCCGTGTTCATGTTTAGCACACTATAATCTTAACGTTCCAGAGAATGTATGGATCACTTCAGTATCTAAAATGAGGCTTATTAACATTTTCAATATCAAAGCAAATCCTTAAATCTAGCAACACTGACACGAGGCAGAAATTATACGCTCGATCTTGTCGCCCTTTTCTTTGTAATTTAAGTTCTTAACCGCTTGAATGACCTGATCATACTTTGACCCACTTTAAGAGCATGTCAACCTGGAGGACATCTGATTTAAAATATTAAGAGGACACTAGCTTTTTTTGTTATAAGTTTACATTATAAAAAAATATCCAATCCTTGGGTCTTAAGGCTTTAAGATACTCTTTTATTCATAATATAGTGTGTTTAAATAGTATTTATTGTTAAAAGAAAAGGTGTTGTTTTCCTTTAAGAAAACTTTATCACATCAATCGAATAATCGCCTAGAGCTGGATTATGATTTACCTGTATGCGCCAATACAAAAATGAAGGTTTCATTTTAGGGAGAAAAAAAATGGTATTAAAAGCATTTGAATAACCATTAATCAATAATTGAATATTATTATTATTTTTTTTTTAACGAATCTCATTTAGCGCCCATATAGGGAATTTTACTTCGTAAAATTAGGGTACAACATATTTCATTCATCTGTCACATGAAAAACTGGAAAAAAAACTGATGTCTAGGGGTTTGGGTGGGGAGTGGCGATGAAAATTTGAAAAAGAAAAAAAAATGCGTTGTCATCCGCTGATGCATGTGTGTGCTAAGTTTTATCTCGAAAAGTGGACCCGAAAGTTTGTAGATTGTCTTTCCGTACATTTTAGCCACACACCCAGCGAGAAAGAAAGAAACACGGGAACCAAAGGGAAGCAAAGGTAATTAATTTAAAAAACAACAAACTTAATAATAATAATGTTGGCCTCTTGGTTTACTAACCTTTAAGAAAGGGTTATTCTTGCCTGATCTATTTAAAACTTTGGACACACACGTGTTCTCCAAATTATTACGTTCGTCATTTCTTTTATTAATAATACAACAAATATTGGATCAATACAATTCTGCCTCACGAAGTCTTTGGGCATTTTTAAAAACCTACAATTAAAATATAGAATAGGTGGAATAACCGTAATTCTTTCTCTACATTAAACAACTTTTTACTATTATGCATGCGTAATTTAAGTTTCATTAATTTTTGTTTTTACCATATACACAATTTAAGAGGTAGGCTTATACGCATATTTTTATGACTGTATATTTTTACAATTACAACTAGTTAACTATATGATAGAATTTAATGTAAGTTGATTTACCGATACTATTTTTATGTTTTGTAAGCTTTCGTCTTTTGTGCCTGAAATAATAAAACACAAGTTGATTATTAATGCATTTTCCTATCCTTAATTGTTAAAATTTGAAGAAAATTAAATTTTAATAAATTTGAGAATAATTTTAATAATTTATCTTAGTTGTTTAATGCAAACCATTTATAATCACCTAGCAAATTATTGATTTTTACACATTTAGCCTCGTTTTTAAACAAAATTTAAAGTCCTTTTTACCATTTCACTAAAAAATATAACTAGTAAACAATGACAATTAACAGGTAGGCTACGACTGGAACTGAGTTTAAGATAAGGTTGTCAAAACCCAAACATGTGTTAGGTGTTTCTTAGCCCCATTTAAGCATAGCATCTGTATCGCCTCCCTTACACATTTAACCAGTGTTCACATTTGGAAGAATCTTTAATTTGTTAGATTTGTGTGGCTTTTCCTCAACTTCTCCGTTTCCCTTTCTTCTCTCTGTTTCTATATTGAGCAGTGTAAAGTGTTAAATACTTTTCAGATGTTCTTTTTAGGATCAAAGTATCTGAAGAGACGCATTTTGTATTTGTACCTTTGTTTATTAGTTTGGGCTCGCGGCTCTGGTTAAGTTTAAAAAGTAATGCAAAAAAGAGCTAACGAAAGGTTTTTTTTCATCGTAACCCCCCCCCCCAACCTTTTTTATCTATTAAAGTGATTCCTATAAGTAAATCGTGTTTGGGAAACCCTTAAAATATAAATACACCTACAGATTAAAATAGAAAAGGGAAAACAAAATCATTTCAGTTCCTAAGTAAAGAAACTAAAAAACGTGTCATCTTGACATGCAATGAAACCGTTTAAATAGTTTCATTAAACGTGTGTTGATTGCAAATAAACTGAGCGTCAGTAGACAGAAATTAATGCAACGTTTTAAGATTTTTAACTGAAGTGAGAGAAAATGTAAATAGGTGGCCATGTTGCAAAGGCAATGTTTAATGTTCAATATATCATTCAAAAGAGTTAACATAAATATTCCATGTGTATTAATAATCTGTTAGATCTGGTTAGAAAATTAACTGGAATAAAACTGACAGTCCCTAATAGTATCTACAAATTCTCAAAAAATAAATAAATAAAAAAATAAAAAAAGCAAGGAACAATAATATTCGTCAGTAAAAATCGTGTTTTCTAAATAATAGCGAACAAATATAATACACCATGACAACATTTCGTTTAAAGTTATGTCTAATTTTGTTTCTCTCATTATGTCAAGGTCTACACATAATCCAAGTGTTGTTCTCTATGGGTATTCCATGTGTGACCTAGTCTAGTGGTGCTGGTAGCGGGAAACTTTTTGAATATATTTTGTCATTGAGCTATTAGTCACTGTATAGAATTTTCAGAAAAATATTTTATTTTAATTTTCTTTTGTGTGTTCTTAGGTGTGAATGACATTCACCCACTTTGAAATAGGAATCGTCGTAATTTAAGCCTGTGCGCTAGAAGCTCAGACGGACGAATAAACATAATGTATGCACATACCAATTTATAGAGGGCGATGGCTAGAAGACGGCATACGAGCAGACAGGAAAAGGTTGACAGACCAAACAACATATCTATATATATAAAACCCAACACATCGATTGAGCCAGCAATTAAAACTTCAAGACTGCATGTGTAGCAAAATACTTTGGCTCTGTGCCAGATCTTATTGATTTAAATCAATAACACTGTGCCGTTGAGGCACTTGAGATACTGTCAGAAACGTGCTAGTTCAGTACCAGTCACAGCCGTTTATTTGTGAGATTTTATTTGAAATATATACTATTATAAATCTGATTGCGTTGTAAGTTGTAATTATTAAAGACATTGTAGAGTTTTATGTTAAATATTTTTTTAAAAATTATTACGCCTAGTTAATTAACATTGTTGATATTAGGTTGTGTATGGCCAATGTTCTTTAATCCTTATAATTAACATTTGCAATTGTTTATGTTTGTTTTTTTAAACATAAAATTCTCCATAAATCATCATCATATTCCCATCCAAAAGCATAAACATTTTTTTTCACATTTACAAACTTAGACACTGATCTTCCTTGCTAAACTTCAATTATCTTCGTGGTGCGTCGCCTTTCCCACCCCGCACCCCCCCCCCCTTTTTTGTGCTGTATTTATCAAAGCAGAAACACTAGAAAAAGCCCCTAACCCTACTTAAGTCAGGGCTCTTCACGCTTAAATGTGTGCCCACCTCTGTATACCACTGTAGAAGACGCAAAATGTTACACTGCGGGTACACCTGATTGAATAGGCCCATGACTTTGATATTATTAGTTTATAATGCAACTAGACAATGGTAGTGTTTAAGAGTAGCAAGTGTAGTGTTGACGGATGCATCACGAGAAGTCAATAGCCAGACTTGGCAGTAGGTCGACACTGGATCGCGGAGTTTTTAAATAAGTATACACACACAAACTTACACACACATGTATATGTAGGTATGCCTAAATTCCATTCATTAACTTTTGGATAAATGTCACTACACACCGTGGTGACAGCTAATGAATAGCAATAAAAAAGAAAATGCTAATAGTCGTCTCTATTCAATTTCAAAATAGCTATCAAAATCAAAATCAAATGTTACATATTGATTAAAAGCCATGAATGTGTGTATTACACATATTTGACAAACCCTCACGACTCAACAAGAGAACCGTAATAGCATTTAACCAAAGCCAACGATATTGGCCTTGATGCGTGGGTGACAAATGCTGTGGAACGTATATATACATATATATTATTTGCTAGGTTTGAAGAAAATAATGTATCCTCCTCTGGTTGTAGCAATCTGTTGCGTACAATATAAGACCAAGATTTTGTTTAAAAAATGTGAGATAGTTTATTTATTTCTATTGTTTTTGCCATTGAGAAACATCATTCCCGATATATAAAGTGTTGGCCAACAAATGTAAGCGGGCTGAATACCATGTCTATTTACTTTTTTAATCTTTACCAACGTTTTCTAAGTGTGCAGTTATTGCTGGACAATGTCAAGAATCAGAAATTATGCTAAATATTTCATCCCTTGATTTCAAACCTTGGACTCACCCGTTTATAATCGTGCCAATAACTAAATACTGCAAATGTTTTATGGAGTCCATGACCTCCCAACTTTCAGCTCGACTCCGATGGGAAGATTTATTCCGAAAGTACACTAAGTTTCCCTCACATAGCTCCTTTATATTGGCATAATCAAGACTGCACGTTGGCCTAATGGCTGGCTCAAAGGCGCTAATGATCTCCTCAAGCTAAAAAAGTTAATGGTGTTTCCAATTGTATGAGAGGGGGCTTTGTCTTGGTGCAACGTCCGACTTATTGCAAACATGTTTAACTTGAAAATTACTATTTAGACCAACAGCCTACGGCTAACTTGGACTACGGGTTCTTGAAATGCAACACTTTTCCGTTTAAGACTTAGGTACTAAAAGACATAGTGTAAAACTACCCTACCTTTCGGCTAACCCTGTTGACCTAACAAAGTTTTAGAGCTGCGTAAAAATGTGGTACATGTCTATGTCTAATATAAAGAGTGTAATATTGTAAAAACATAATTCATTATTTTAAAATTGCTTGCGATTCTCTTGTCATACGTGTTGAGACCAGCGCATAATTTTGCACAAAATGTTCATTTAAAATACGAAATAATTATTGATTTATTGTTCAAATATTGATTTTTTTTTTTGTGTTCATAATACACAAACTATGGACACCAGGTAATGTTTAATACATATATATTTATATAAAGAAACTTGTTATGACATTATTCACAGCTTTATTCAATACCTTGTTTTTGTTACACTTAACATGTTGCAGCCTAACGTAACTGGGATTGAACCATATACTGCAAAATGTATTAATAGATTTCATTCCATAGAAAATCAAATAAGAATTTCCCGTAGTCAGCTGGAGTTAATTGCAGATCGCTGTGTACTTAAGCTGAAGGTAATAAAACAAACATATTTTTTTCAATATCTATCTATCAATAGTCTTAAAATAGATATGCATTTTTAATGTATTATTATTATTAATGACTTTAAGATACTGTATTATTTATTTTTTTGTTAAATTAAATTTTAAAAAAAAATGTTCATGTAGCTTGGCAGAAACTAAACCTAAATAAGTAACAAATCTAAATAAAAAAGTCATATCAAAAGAATTCCTTATCAAGAAGTAGGCCTATTAGTTTATGTTTATTCTCTCGTAATAATAAAAAGGACCACCTTAACAATTAATTTTTTTATCTTTTCTCAAACAATGTCAATTATGCTTCGACTGATTACATGTTTGTTCAGTTTTCTGATTTGATATGTATTGTTAAAACTGAGAAACAAGTATTTAAAAAAATACATTAATTTAAGTTCAGTGGCTGGACCACTTAAATTATTTCTATTGCATTATTTTCATACTTCTACAAACATTCTTTTAAGAGTAGTTAATTATTTCAAATACTTATATGTTTTACTTGTTATTTCATCGTATTATATTTTTAAATTGTTTGATGACATGTTTTTTTTTTTTTTTTACAATAGACATTCCAAGACGAGTGTGAAAATGAAACTACAAGCATTCCTCCTAATTATTGCCTTAGTTGTAACTAACCTCGGTATGTATGTTGAATTTATATTACATGAAACGGATAACAAATATTGCATATATACATAGAAATAACATGACGCACCTTTACAATTTTACAATGAATTAATTTTTCATTAATGAATCAATGTAGTAACTTTAAAAAATTCCAAGATTGAATTAAACAGATATTTTAACACATTCTTTTAGATCTAGAACGCATACATCGTGTTTCACTAGGTCTCGCAAACTCTAAAAATTATTTGAGGATGCCTTGCGTAATTTAAATGTAATCAATAAGTGGCGCTACTAGTGTGTGCGTCATAGTTGTTGGCCCCATTACTGTTTTTGCTATCCCCATCAACAAAAAGATTTCTGCATTTGGTCGAAAACGCCAACCCTCAATATGAAGGACAAATATGTGCAATGTGGTTCGTCATCTTTGTATTCCCATATTTGTTTCTTTTTAAGTTGAATTTTCAATTGAAATGCAGTAATCATATTTAACTCATTACAAAAGATAAACTTAGAACTTAATAAAATAAACATGTAAATGACTAGAGCAGCATGGAGTAAAATTATTTATAAAGAAGGGAAAACATTAAACGTGTTCCTAATACATTAAAACAATTCACGTTCACTCTCTCGTTATGTGAACATTATATATACACATTTGCATACCGTCTCACACACTCAAGGCAATGTCTCTACTCTAGGTTTGCAAACCATGATGTTATGATTTATTTTTGTGTGTGTAAAGGCCATCATGGGTGTGTTAAGTTTTCAGAAGAAAATAAAATGTTATGCGTCACTTCCGACGCCATCAAAAAGTTCGGTAACCGATAATCTACAGTAAATGTTCTTTTAATATGTACCTAAAACTTTGTGTAAACGAAGGAATATTCATACACTAAACAATAATTTAAAATTTATAGTCCAGTTTAATTTTTTTTTAAAATAACTTGAAATGCATATAATTAAAGGAAATCAAACACACACATGCATAAATATCAAATTTAAACATTATAATATACAAATAGTATTTTACAATACTTTAACGTGCTTATCAAGATTTAAACACATAGTATTGGAAATGTATGTTCTCTCATGAATTAAAAAATTAACTATGAAAATTATTCCTTAGATGTAAAGTACGCTCAAGAAATATCCTATTTTAAGCTGGTTACAAAGGAGTGTTCAACCAAGTGCAAAAGTGGCTATTTAAAACTGTTCGATTCGTGCACTTTTAACTTTGAGATCAGCTTTAAAGAAACTTTACCAGACGTATCATCTCTAAATTTTGAGTTAATGGAGGATTCGAGCAACATTTACAATCATGTAAGTCTTATCTAAATAAACTTAAGCCAATGATATAGGTACATTGAAGTACAAAATAATACGTTTTTAATAGTAATGCTATTTACACATTTCAGTTGATTTCGTTGTGGTGATGTAAAAAAATGAAAATTTTACTAATTTGTATAGTCTACTATATGTTTTTTCCACAGTAGTAATGCCAGCATTTAAATACAGTTTATATTTACAGGAATGTAGATATATTTTTTTAAAAAAATGTCTCTTAAATTTAATTTAATTTGTGTAATAAAAAAAAAAAGTAGGTGTATTTTGAAACTTGGGTGAAAAAATAACTGGAAAAAAAAATAGAAAACAAATACTCATCTGGTGTCTACATTTCTTTTCAGATACTGACATTAGACATGAAATCTGATTGTGAAGGATATAAAGAAAACTCCGATGTTTACTGCACAGAACTAGATATGAACGTGTTTAGAATTACCATTAAAGCGAAGGAACTTTCAAGATATAGTGAGGCTAATGTAAGAGTTTACATAACAACTCCAAATAAACCAAACATTTTCGGCGATATTCAGAAATTTCCTAGATTTTATGGTAAGCTGCTTATGATAAATCAAAAAAAAAAAGTCGTAATTTAAATACAGATATAGCTATAGATATATACTTAAATAAATAAATAGATCGATATATAGATAGATAGATAGATAGATACATAGGCAGATAGATAGATAGGTAGGTAGGTAGGTAGATAGATAGATAGATAGATAGATAGATACATAGGCAGATAGATAGATAGGTAGGTAGGTAGGTAGATAGATAGATAGATAGATAGATAGATAGATAGATAGATAGATAGATAGATAGATAGATAGATAGATATATAGATAGATAGATAGATAGATAGATAGATAGATAGATAGATAGATAGATAGATAGATAGATAGATAGATAGATAGATAGATAGATAGATAGATAGATAGATAGATAGATAGATAGATAGATAGATAGATAGATAGATAGATAGATAGATTGATAGATAGATATTTAGATAGAATGATTGATGGTAAATAAAAAATGTTATGTCTTTAAAATGTAAAATAAAATTGCCACCTTTTTTTAAAACATAGATTCTACAGATGCTATTGGACGACTAAGAGTAAATGGTATGAGCATTCCCTCAGAGATGTATTGTAATGCAACAATTAAAGGAAATAAGTTAAACATTAATTTTGACTGCACTAGTCCTGCAATACCATGTTGGATACAGATTAAGATAAACGAAAATATTGTGGTGGAAGAAATCGAAAATCAAGTCGTATGGAACGAAACATTCAAAAGCAGCTTAGCATTAAATTTGAGCATAAAATTTTCTGCATGTAGGTTAGATGGCAACAGCAACTATATAAACTGTTTATTTCAATCAGGTGAGTGCCAAAACAATCGCCAAATCAATATTTATTTTATAATTTATCTCCATCCTTGTCTCTGTCTACGTCTCTCTTTTTCCCTTTCCCTCTCTCCTCTAGGTAAATATATATATATATATATATATTTGTATGTATATGTGTATGTTTATGTATATATATATATATATCAAATCATAAATATCCAGATTTTTATATTTTATTAATATATATTAACAACGTACATTTTTTTATTTTAAAAAGAAATGTTCAACTTCTTTTCCATTTCATGCGGGATGAGTCCATTGCATATGCAAATCATTAAATTAATAGTCAATCATACAGTCTATAACAGATCATTGCATTCTCAGAAATATTTGAGAAACATTCTGCGTATTTTAATCCCCTATTTGTAAAGTGTGAGTACAATACAAGAAGGTAGACGTGTGGTGGAAAGTTAAAAAAAAAACACAACAGATGACTTACACGATAGGTTTTTGTTTTGTTTTTTCAAATGTATTACTAGTGAGCACCTACCATGCGTTGCAATGCCACTAAAAGAAAGAAAGTGTCTTCGTGTTAATTATGATTTTTGAACTACCTTTTGTAGCGACAATTGTTTTTTCCTGTCCGGTACGACACGAAGAAATTAGAAGGTTTTTCGACGGAAGAGCAGGCCCCATGCAACTGTCTATATAAGAATAATACATTTTCAACATTTAATCCACTTACTTGTAGCAATTTATCCACCCATGCAAAAGCTGTGTTTTAAAATTACATTTATATAGCTTATATATTATTTAAAAACGAATTAAAAGACCCCGGGCCCAAACGGAATATTGTAAAATAGTTGTACGAATTGAGAAACCTATTTATTTTTTCACACACAATCTGAAATGTCCATGTTTTTATTTGATTCCAATGCATTCACCCATGAAAAAATACTGGTTAAAAATTATAAACACCATATAGAAAATATATAAATATTATCATAAAACAAAACAAAACGAATTTAGAGCCCCCGGTTAATAGTGGAACATTATAAAATGCTTCTAATCATTTGGAGCAATATGCGGACGTGCAGACAACAACTCACTAAAGTGTTAACGCAATGAGATGAATAGTATAGGAATGCATATAGACATTATATTTACATAGCTCATATTAGAAAAAAAACGATTTTGGGGACTCCGGCTTCAAACGGAATATTTTAAAATGATTGTACTAATTTAGAAACCTTGGCGGCGAGCGCACAATTCACCAACGTTTTATCGCAATCGGATCAATGCTGTAGGAACACAAACGGAAGTTATGTTTTATATATATAGGCCTATATGTATCGACTGTAGTAAGATCCAATTTTAATAATTTTTTTTTAGAATTCTTACATTCTGAAGTTGATAACAGCTCCAAGACTCCAATGATACTCGGAATTTCCATTACTGTTTGTGTACTATGCATACTTTTTGTTGTTTTCATGGTTTATTGGTAAGTAACATTTTAATTTATCGATCGTACACCTGAAATAGTTATAAACAACTGCTGATTATTCGTACAATTGATTATTTGTAACATAATATGTTCAAATTATTGAACAATGCAATAAATACATACAAAAAGAGTTCAACCAACATTTAAAGCAAAGGAAATACTGTTTATTATTTATTAATAACAGGGTTTCAAAGCTGCCTGGCACCCGCTAGGAGCAGTTAGGATAGCCACTTTGTTTCCCAAATCGTTGCAAATATGCCAGTACTTGGTTGTGGCTACGTAGTCTAACAGAATCAGATCAATAATAGTTGTCTAGCTTGTGTGAACTAAAAATATATAAATATCACAATACCTTGCTTGATAGTTTAAACATTGTTTTTAAAAAATTAATAAAATAACTAATATGAATACAAAATATTAGCATCAATCAACATGCTATGACGTACGCAGTTTTTAAGACTAATGCTTACAAGTTTGATAAAATTATCAAATTTTTTAGGTTTTAAAAAAAGGATATTTTAAAATCATTTTGATAACAAAGTTCTGCAGTTTTAGTAAAATATGCATATCAAAAAACGCATTGAATAAAATTTAAAATTAATTAAACTTTTCATTTTTTAAAAAAACAACAGAAAAACAAAAAAACTAAAGCCATGATTACAATGTGTGTGCTTTTGTGTGTCTTCTTCTTATCTTCTTATATTTGAGGGGCCCACGATCAATTTGTTGATCATTCTGGCTCCCGGTTTGAATTCAGAGTTTGTGTGTTTGTGTATTTATTTAAACTAATTGTTAAAACATGTATTCCTTCTTGTCTTAGGTTCAAATTGAGAAATCAAGTAAGTTTCATATGTATGGTAATTTTTTTAAAAAAAGTTTTAAAATATTCTTTTTATTAATTATAATGTTCTTTCCCTTTATAATAAATACATATTGGTCCTAGACTTACTTTTTTTTATGGATAATGCCCTTTATTAATCCCTTTTTATTAATTTGACTTTAAGAGTTATTTGTTTTATAGTCACAGGTAAACGTCCTATAAGCATTATAACGCTTAATACCCGAACTCATTGAGAACTGAAATTTTAATGAAAATGATAGTCTTAAGCCAATCATAGTGTTGCCCTACATTTTCTGGATTAAATTTTTGTAACACAGTATAGTTAAGATTATTTAGATTGACACTGTGAAATAATTTGAGGATCTGGACTAATACACATAAAATTATGATTGTAATGGCGAGGCTACATTATCTAATAAATTCTTTTTTATAGTATATATTAAAACATACCTCTAATTAATATCAACGAATGCAAGTTATTTTTTTAAAAATTCATTCTGAATCTATTTTTTTTTAAAATTCAGGAAACCAATAAGAAGATAAATAACACGCCACTTGGGGATCTTGAAAGTGAGACCAAACTCCTTGATAATGCAGATAATCTTGAGATGGTAAATAATAACGTTATATAAGTATTCGGCAAACTAAGAAAACAATACCAAAAAAAAAAAAAAAAAAAAATTAAAAAAAAAAATAAAAAAAACAAAACCAAAAAAAAAAAAAAAAAAAAAAAAAAAAAAAAAAAAAAAAAAAAAAAAAAAAAAAAAAATAAAAAAAAAAAAAAATAAATAATAACGTTATATAAGTATTCGGCAAACTAAAAAAACAATACCAAAAAAAAAAAAACACAATTTGCAACAAAAATTAGAAGAACGCAACGCAAAAAAAAAAAAACAAAAAAAAAAAATAATCATAAAACATCCAATAAGCACCGAAAGACTGGCAAAAACAAAGCAAATGCAATAAGAGTGTCATATTCTATTATTAACGTATAGATGTAGATTTATTTTATGCCTAATTGGAAAAAAAATAATTAAGAAAAACAATGGAATTAAACTATCTGCATCGGCTTTTTTTTTTAAAAAGATCATAATACTTAAGCTATATTAAACTAAAAACATCAAGTAGTTATGAAAACTTCTGTACAATAAAATAAAAATAAAAAAAACTAATTTCATTCTAGATTTCAATCTGCACACAGTTAAAAAAAAGAATTACATTCTCATTGTCCATCCAATGCAGCCCTTTAAACAAAACAGCTACAGGCAGCCTCACACCCTTCCTCCCGCCCTTTAAACAAAACAGCTACAGGCAGCCTTACACCCTTCCTTCCGCCCTTTAAACAAAACAGCTACAGGCAGCCTTACACCTTTCCTCCCGCCCTTTAAACAAAACAGCTACAGGCAGCCTTACACCTTTCCTCCCGCCCTTTAAACAAAACAGCTACAGGCAGCCTTACACCCTTCCTCCCACCCTTTAAACAATAGTTCTGCAGACAGCCCTAAATACAGTCCTACCGACTGTTGTACATATAGTCCTACACAATACTCGTGACTCCTTACTGATCAATATAATAGTGCTTCAAATATATTTTTAAAACAAACCTATTTTCCGGAGTTTATATCTTCTGGAATGAAAGCTTAATTTTTGTTTCCTTCGGTAATATTAAATAAAAACATTTTTGAGTTTTGGGGTAAGAGGCGCTGGGGGGGGGGTGGGTTGGGGGTGCGATGAGGAAGCAGGACGTGTTTGAAGAAGCTATATATGTTTACGAAACATCTCATTTGTTTTGAAAAAAAAAAATCTTGAAAATCTCCCTTTTCAGTAATAGAAAGAAAAATAGGACAAAAAGATGGAGATAAAATATGCGAAATAAATTATTTCAAAGATTATTGGTCTACGTTTAATGCTATTCAAAACTAAATAATTTAATAAATATGATTTCTAACTATCGAGCATGTATAACTGTTAAAAGATAAATGAAGACAAAAAATTACATAAATCCATATTGTATAATAAAATGGAAAAAAAATATAGTCAAGTTGTTTTAAATGTAATTTAAAAACTAATGTTTGGAGGCGAGTCTTGTAGACAAAAAAAAAGCCGTATGTGAAAAGGGATAAAATTTTCAATTTCCCAAAGCAGTCTTCAAGAATTAACAAACACATATTTTTTAGAAACACGCTTGAAATATATCGATTTTTATGGAATCTTATATTGATGTTGTTGGAAATGAAACATGTATTTTTGTGCTTATGTGTTCTTATAATATAAAATCTATAGAAATCAAGAACTAACGATCAAGAAATTATTCGAAGAGAAGTAGATGTTAACTCAAAAGAATCGAAGGGTTGGACTGCCTTGATGTTTGCAACAACAAGTGGAGATATTGAAATTGTTCAACAACTAATTGAGACTGGCGCCAATCTTAATGCGCAAAATGAAGAAGGATGGACTGCGTTAATGCTAGCGGCGAGGCATAAGCATGTTGACATTTGTAAACATTTAATTACTAAAGGGGCTAGCGTTAATCTCACAGAAAGGCATGGTTTAACTGCACTGATGATTAGCTCAATTATAGGAAACAAAGAGATAGTGAAAGCAATTACAGAAACTAGCGCTGCTACTTTAGAAAAAGGGAGAGAAAAGGTCGGAATAAAAGACACTTTTAAATATAATAGAGTTGTGAAACGTGTTCGTAACAGAAAGTCACTTATTGACAATGAGTCGCTTAAAATAGCGATGGGAACTATTCCACTTTTGAGCCCAAGTTACATTGATGAGACATCTTGTAAAGAGGATGACGCAGCTATAAATGATGAAATTAGATGTGAAAATGTACTTCAGGTTCCAGAAAATACAAAAGCAGAAAAGAAATACCCGGACGTCAAGCGATATCAGCCTGTTAAAAAGGGAACAGTCATTGATATCATAAATGCTGCGACTAAAGGGAATATCAAAATGTTGGATTTTCTGATTGGACAAGGGGTAAACATTGATGACAAGACAGAGGATGGGAAGACCGCTTTAATGGTTTTATCTCTTAAAGGTTGCACAAATGGTGTGGAATTACTATTATCGAAGGGGGCAAACATTGACGCAGTCAACGACGAAAAGGGACTGACTGCTTTAATGTTTGCATGTCATAAGGGGGACTTCAAAACAGTTGAATTGCTTATTAAAGAGGGGGCTAATGTTAAACTACTGGATAAACAAGGTTGGAACGCGTTAATGCATGCAGTTGCAAATGGGTATAAAGATATCGCTTATCTTCTCACCCATTGTAAGCAAAAAGAAGAGGAAGCGAATATCGACACATGCCCTGAAAAAACTCAGCAAAACGATTGTCAGTGTAGTGACGGTTTAAACCTTACTGGAAATCATGAAACGGGTGAGCAAATAAGTGTTCCTATTGAACAAAATGAAGAGGTAAGCAGTAAAAGCATAGCAAACGATTTCAAACTGGAATCTGTTTCTGAAGCTAATGAAGATGCTAGTGATGTAAATGTGTAATCGAAATTATACTGATAATTTAACATAATGTAGATGTGAGAAACATGTATCTTAAATATTTAAAAACATTTTAACAATCCCTAACCGGTTTCTATAAAGAATGGAAATGGCCATTTAATTGTTATGTCAGCTTAAGACTTTGTATTAGTAAAGCGTATCTCATTCGTCATGTAATCATTCTTTGTAGTACAGTCTTTGCTCTTGTCGCCTAATCCTATATTGTTACTATTTGTACATTTTGAGAATTGCAATTAAAGATTGAACAATATTAAAAAGCATCACTGGTAATCATATTTATTTAAATATTTATTTTAATACGTCATATATGACATGTAAAAGCATTGTATTCAAATGCTAATTTTGTAATTACTATCTCGTTAATACTAATTTCTTTGAATATATGTAAAAATTAACATAAACTTTACGCAAAAAAATGTTTTAAATTGATTTGCTTGTTTAACTCTGGAAATAAAAAAGTATATATGAAAATATATAATTTATTTTTGAATGTAAAATTAATTCATTTCTATAAATTTTATTTTAACACAGCCATACAATTTTTTTAGAAAAAAACAAAACACTTTCAACAACAAAAAATCCTGTAATTAAATGGTTATAGTTTTTTGTATGTCGTAGTGACTTAACCAAATAACTGATCGCGGATTATACATGTTGTTTTAATTTTTTTTAAAAAAAGAGAGACGCATGCTTTTAGAACAGGTCAATAGTGAATTAAACTTGTCTACCGGTCCGCAAAATTAATTTTGAAGGTACGGGAAACATTGATCTGAAGTTTCTTTTGTAAGTAATATTACATTACAGGATAAATGTAAATGTGCACACTATAAGTATTCATGGTAAATGCATAGAAAATCAATTGCTCGGTTGAGAAGTCAAATAAACAAGTTTTTTTTTTTTTCTATACTTGAGAAACGGGTGTTGATAAGTTGAGAAGGGCAAGTACTAAACTTAATTTCTGTTTCATTAGAGTATCTTATTATTTATCAATAATACGTTTTTTTAGAACATTAGAAATATAATTAAAACACAATCATTCGCCAAATATAAGTGTGGAAAGGTATAGTGTCTTTTTGGTAATTCATTTTAAATTAAATCTATCATGTATTTTGTATGATTTATTTATGTATTAATATTTTTCTTTTTTTTTTGTTGTAAAAATGAAATTATATTTTTTAACAATGTGAAACTTAAATTAACAGCTGACTAATGTTGAGCCGATTAATAAGCAAATATGCCAGAATGGCTCGAAAACGCCGGCTCACCTAAAATTCCATATGATCGCGCTAAAGGCTGTTATTTGCAACTGTGTCAAAGTTTTTTTTAGGAAAGTGAATAGTGTTTAACTAAAAGCAGAGTTTCAAACAACTATAAATATGATAAAAAAGTTACAGTCGTGTGTGCATTAAAATCTGTCCCAGTCTTTGCTGAGCCTGCCATCATATTTTCAGATGTAGAACATTATAATAAGGTGCTTATATACATGTACATACATTAATTAAAGCTAAATTTGTATGATAATAATAATAAAATAAAGAAAAAAATGTTAATTGAAAAGTTGTAACAATAACAAAGAATGCTATTTCTTTCAAACATCTTGAGATCTCTCTTAATATTCTCAATACGGAATATTGACATGCAACAAAATATGAAAATAAAATTAACGCTAGAGGTGTTAATGACTATAATTGTGGTGAAATGGATCCGATATAAAATGTCCATTTACTCCAACCGACCTACATAGACGCCCGCCTCCTCCCCTCTCAAGTTCAGGACGAGTTAATTCCCCTGATCACTATATAACTCATACGAAGTCATTGAATTGATGCAAATTAAAACCAAGGGAAAATGTCAAGGACCCTTGCATAACGAAAATTCGACCTTTCTGGTGATCGACTCTCAAGATAGTAGTACACTTCTCATGGCACAACAGAGCCGGCTATTTCTAAACCTACCTGGTTGCTAGATCGCCGAACCACTGTGGTACACTCAACCGCACCTAGCAGCTGAATTGAGAAATCAGTGTACTGAGGCCTTAGTCTGCGAACCCCGGAAGACCAATTCATCGCCTGCAACCGAAGGACCGCGAGCTGAAAGACTTTTCTCCATAAGAGAAGTCCTACATACAACCAACACAGCGTAATAGGAAGAGGTAATCCAGAAGGTACTGTTGTGACTGGTATCATCCGCCTGCGTGATCGCCCTATCAAGCCACGAGGTACACCGGATGATGAGTTCACTTCAACAGTGAATGAATTTCTGTATCGTACTGCCGTAAATCTACCTGCGATATCGCCCTGAAAGGCCACCAGGAAAAGAATTAAAGAATTCACTTCAACCCTTGAAGTAATTCTACAGCATCGCATTGCCGTTTAGTCCCCTTGCGTGACAGCTCCCAGAGCCACGAAGGACAGGACCAGAACATCCTCTTCTACGTTGAAGTGATCTCACTATTGTGCAAGATCTAACCAGATCATCAGAGCTGCCCATAATTTGCCGCTCTGTCTGCCCACTCACGTGATCGCCCTGAAGGGCAACAGAGTGGGGATTGGAGGAGCCACCTCCACGTTTTACTCCAGTCAGATGTTCAAGTCAGATGATCAAGTCAGATGATCAAGTCAGATGATCAAGTCAGATAGTCAAGTCAGATGATCAAGTCAGATGTTCAAGTCAGATGTTCAAGTCAGGTGATCAAGTCAGATGTTCAAGTCAGATGTTCAAGTCAGATGATCAAGTCAGATGTTCAAGTCAGATGATCAAGTCAGATGTTCAAGTCAGATGTTCAAGTCAGATGATCAAGTCAGATAATCAAGTCAGTTGATCAAGTCAGATGATCAAGTCAGATGTTCAAGTCAGGTGATCAAGTCAGATGATCAAGTGAGATGATCAAGTCAGATGTTCCAGTCAGACGTTCAAGCCACGAGTGACTTATTAAAGTTGAGTGTGAAAGGACTGAGTGTTTACAAGATACAAAACAAAGCAACCATTATGATGATACATAGGCTATACGGGAGGCCATAGTTCATAGGGGACTACAACTTAGATAATTACCTTTGCAAAGTTGTTTGCATATACTTCAACATTGTTAAATGTATGTAAATAAATTATTCATTTCATTTACATTGGTGTAAAATCTAAAATGAAATGCTTTATCAGCTTATATTTTTAATTAACAAGACAGTGCAAATTCAGTTACTGCGGCAAACTATCCAATAGAGTTTTTGTAACAACTTCAAACATGGAAATACGCCTCCTGGTGGACTTAACTTTAAAATGCTTGTGGAGTGGTAAATTTATTACGAAACATTGATTCAATAAAACGTCGTTGTCAAACGTTTATCACTGTGAAATCCTTACTGGATCATTTGAAAATAATTGGCATTTATTTCAAATCATATTTTTGCACAAATTGAGCTTGACCTTTTCTTTATATTAAGAAGAATACAGTCTCTCTTCAGACTTGCTTTTGCTAACACATTAAGGCATGTACAAATTGTGTTGCATATTAAAAAACAAAGTCCTTTCAGCTAGTAAATTTAAAAGTTGTTGGAAATGACAAACAAATCAATTTAAAAAAAAAATACTAAATATATTACACACATATTTATGTATAAAATGAAGTTTTCGCCAAATAATTTAAGGTCATTGGCAGGCGTGGACGTATCAATATGTGTCAATACAATTGCTTACCCCCAGTAACAACAGCTATTATAATGCGTTGTTACATGAATACATGAATAGATGGATATTGACCAAACTTAGCACACATACATTTTATTATCCATACTCAAAAAACTGGAGGATATTGAACTCATAATATCCATCCCTCTGGGACAGGGGACCCCATTTATTTTTTTTTTTTTTTTTAAGCCTCATAACTATCAATAGGCTCAGAGAACTCTAGGGTATATGTGAATTAATTGATATATGCCTAGATTGTTAGAAATGCATTTTATTGTCCGTATTGAAATATCCGTGGATTTAAAACTAAATAATATCCAATGCATTCAGCGCCAATCTAGAGTTTTCTAGACAGTTCCATAATTTAAAAAAGCTATAACTATGTTTTTTTGAAACGATTTTATTGGGAAATTTTAAATTTTAAATCTATAAATTATCTGAATTATTTTTATAGGGCCCCCACCCCATCTCAGACATAAATTAAATGGAACTTTATTAAATTTTCTTTCAACCGGGCCCCCATTTCGTTTTAAATGTACTATAGTTATAGCAGTTAAATTAAGTTGTACAATATTTTGAGAAAATTATATGTAGAAAAGTAACTTTTTCCCCTTGAATGGATGATATTTGTTTTAACCTAGAATGTTCTAAAACTTTCTTTATTGTTCTACGGGAATATTTAGCGATATCTAAAAGCTTATTTCAACAAAACTGCATTTGTTATGATCCCATAGAGGAACAGGATCCTAATAGGGAACGAGATCCAACAGTAAACTAGAACCCATCGGTTACGCGATCCACACGGGATTCCATCGGGATAACACGATCAAACTGGGATCGAGATCCTTTCGGGAAAAGGGATTACACCGGAAAAGAGATTCCTTAGGTGTAATGTGATTCCACAGAGAATAGCATCCTTACGGGATCGGTAGCCCATCGGAATCCCACTGGGATCAAGACACCGACGGGACGGGGATCCCACCGATAAATGGATTCCCTCTTGATCCGGAGCCACAAGAAAATGAGATTTCACAGGAAATGGGATACACCAGAGAAAGGGATTAAACTTGGATCGTGGTCAGAATGGGATTGGCGTCTCATTGAACATTGGGATTTGGGTCTTACCATGATCGGGGTCCTAATGCAATACCGTGCAACGCCGGGTATTGGCTAGTGTCTTAGTAAAACCGTTACTATCTTGTTTTATAGTATTGTCACTTTTAAAAACATATTTTTATTTTTTCTTGTGCTGCCACTCTCTAGATATTACATTAATACATGTCTGAGTAGTTTAAACGTAGTCAGTATCAATATTGTGGTCTGAAGTTAAATCCCCACCAAAGCCCAGTCATTCACCTCGTTAACCTTAGTTGCCCACTCATCTAAGAAAAACAAATTCTGAAAATATGCCGGAAAAGGATTCCCGTATAACAAGGGTGGGCAAACTAGGACCCGCGGGCCGCGTGCGGCCCGGAAACTAACATTATGTAGTCTTCCAAGGCATATAGAAATATAACGAAAATGATTAATTTTAAATTATTTTCTTGATTTTTACAGGATTTCATGTACCTCTATGATTGTTTTAACACTTTTGATCAACTTTCTTTTCACTATTATATTTTTTTTAAACAGTCTTTGACTTTTGTCATGTAACGCTAAAATGCGAATTTAACCATTTTATAATATATAATTTTTTATCGTAGTGTAAAATTGGAAATTACTTATAAGCCGCACGCCAAAAGCTCTATATTTGTCAATGTGCCCTCTGCACACAAAGTTTGCCCACCCCTGCCGTAGACGGAAACGTTACAATAAAATTATATATTACCTTAGGAAATAGCTCTCTATTACCTTACAAAGCACCCGTTAAGCGTGATCATGTGGCGCCAAGCGGCACGTTGAAGATGTCCCATAATCAGCCCCCTCCAGAACCCTTTCATCAGGTACTAGCAGAGGCCACAGAGCTGACTGACATCCGGTCAGCAGGTGACGCTGCAATCATATAGTCAGCTTTCGACTTTCCCAAGTGGTTGTGATGATATATTTACGTAATAAAACCTTCCATTAACCACATCATGTAATTATGCTTCCAAAACTAT